AGGCACTCGTGGTGTGGTGGTTAAAGGCACTGAATTCCCACATGGCTGATTGCAGTTACAGTCCCGGACCTTCCAGCCTCCGTTTTTGCTTTCCTTTTCTCTTTGTCTCTCTCTGGTCAAATTAAAAAAAAAAAAAGGAATACATAACTATTATTAAATATATATATATATACAACAGGAGCACATGCATGCCCAGAATCCTGAAAGGAGGGAATGATGAAAGAGAAGGGACTACAGTGTGAAAGTTTCCCACTGGGAGGGGATGCTTTCTCCTGCGTCTTCTTTTTTTTTCTCTGGGGAGTGCATGTGCCCTCCGGCTGATTTTAATAATTATTTTATGTAACTTCATTGATTTTAGTTTGACCACAGAGGGACAGAGAGAGAGAGGGAAAGTGAAAAAAGCAAGTTTCCAGGTCCAGGACTTGAACTGTAGTCAACCAGGTGGGAGTCCAGTGCTCTTAAGGCCACCTGCCAGCTCCCCTCTGGCTGACTTAAAAAAGTTTAAATAATTTCCCTAAATAATAGCAATAACCAGTTAAAACTGATAACAGGATGAAGAGCTCCCTAAAAGTAGCAACACCACACACACAAAAAAATCTAATTTAACAAAAAATTTACGATAGGGATTAACTACCAAACTTTATTCATATGTACCATGAGACTTTTACCACTTGCTTCTTTCATTACCAATTAAGTTATAACATTAATGCACTTTTAACATTCCAACAGAATTTCAATTTGAAATAATGTTGGTGATTCTAAAGTTAATAAGGAAGCATAAAAGGGATGAATGCATGAAAAAAATAAGAAGAGTATAATAATGGATACAAAGCTATAATGATCTAATGAGGACAAAGTATTCTATCCTTCATATTATACAGCACATACATATGTGTAAACTTATTATTGATCCAATATCCTCGTTCATACATTTTTTAGGATTAGCTGGAATTTGTAATTCAGAATAATATGGACTTCTAAAAAATTTAAGTATGTATCATTTACTACTGGCCCCCACCCCACCAAAATTCAGTCTAGAATAGGAGCACATTCATCAAACACATTACTACTTTGACATTAAAGTATGAATATTCTTAACAAATAAAAAAGACAAAATAGCATAACATTTGTCAGATTTTGCCATAAATTTAAGGGGGAAAAATTGGTTGTCAGAACCTTTTGGACTTTAGAATGATGAACAAGAAATTGTGAATCACTGTAGGCTAAGAGTCATTACAAGTAAATGAGCGAGTGAAAGGAAAGTTTATTTTACCAAACTGTCAAGTAGTTAAATATTTAGGGGAAAATATGTAGTTGATCATTTCTTCATACCAGATAACCACAACATATTATTTATGCATTAGAATCTAACTCCTACTTTTAACAAATCAAGAAATAAGAGCCTAGAAACAATATACCTCTTGCAAGGGATAAATATATGCTATGGAAGAAATGATCATTTGAGGTAGAAATGTAAATTGATGTAAATTTCCTTGCAGAATTTGGCAAAATGTTTTTAGATCCTTAAAAGAAAGTGCACTTAACTTATTGAATTGGTAATTATATTCTTTAAAATGTCTCCCAAGGAATAATTGATATGCAAACATTTGTTTACCACAAATGCTCACTGCTGGTTTTGTGTGTATTGCTAAAAAGTAGAAAATGTTAAATATTAGAAGGAAAACATTAGGAAAGTTGTATTTACAATAAGTTTATGTAGAAAAAAATTTACAAAAAAAGGCTAATTATGACAAAATGATAACAAACATGAACAAAACCAGAGTCCAATAAAAGTATATAATAATAAATACCTGATATACAATTTCAAGTAGTTGGGCCTGAGTCTGAAAGATGGTGATATAAGAAAAAATGAATGCAGGGACCAGCAGTAGGCGTAATGGCTATGTTACTGGACTCCCATGTAGTCCACCTTGGTTCAAGTTCCAACCCTGGTGGCTTAAACTCATGCCGGATGCATGGGTGTGCCCAAGATCCTGAGAGTAGAATGGAGGAGAACGGATTGCATTGTGGTCATCCTCCTTGGGGGGGTGATTTCTTGCTTTCTGTCTATTTCTTTCTGTCTTTCTGGCGAGTGCACATGCCCTATAGCAAAAACTTCTTCAAAAAAAAAGATGAATACAGAATATATAACAATATGCTTCTGAAATTACTTTCTACTAAACCACCAATCTTGATATCCCTAGTAGCCATGACATCTCACCTTTGCCTATACGTGGATGGGTGCTTTATTTATGTGTAATTTTTTTTTTTTTAAAGATTTTTTTGCTACAGGGCATCTGTGCTCACTGGAGAGACAGAAAGCGAGAAATCACCCCTCACCAGGGGGGATGGCTGCACTGCAATCTCTTCTCTGCCATTCTCTTCTTGGGATTTTGGGCATGTATGTATATGTGCTTGGTGCTGGTTTGCCAAGTCTTGGACTTGAACCACAGTTGACTATGTAGTAGTCCAGCAATGTAACCACTATGCCATCTGCTGGCCCGCATGTGTAATTTTAACATATTGTAGGGTTCTAGCAATACCCAGGGCTGAAATAATCAAATATTTAAGTGTAAGACTTATCAGAGTTGACATACATTGACTATAGTATTGCCCAAATAATAGACTGGATCCTTACAATCCTTACATATAATTATAAAGACAGCTACATATTGTTATTTGTGGTATACTTTAACTCTGAAATGGGGTCACTGTGCATTTGACTATTAAAATAAACTACTGGCCCAAGTGGTGGCACAGTGGTAAATACAACTGGATCCACATGGAATAGTACTGTTGGGGGTGCCTGTTTCTCTGTCTCTCTTGTAAGAAATAAGCAAAAGAAAATAAATAAATAAAAATAAAAATAAAAAATAAATAAATAACTAGGAATAATAGTTTATGGTTTAACTCTTGAATATAAAGAAAACCTCCAAGTACAAGTTTTCTTTGTTCTCTATCTAGCAGCTTCTGGCTACTTAAACAGTCTCCATGACAGTGAACTTTTGTTGTTGTTGTTGCAGGGTGCACATACTTGGCAAAGAAAGACAGAGTCAGCGAGAGGGAGAAAGCACTCCCCCTTGGGGTGTGTGGTCAGGCTGCAATCCTTTTCCTCTATTCTCCATCCCTTTGTGGTCTGGGACATACATGCACATGATCCTGGCATGTTTTTCAAGCAGCTGGGGCCAGAATTCAAAATGCATAGTCAGCTACATGGGGTCTGGCTCCCTTAACTACTCGGCAATAGGGCTAGTTCTGAACTTGTTTCATTTGTTTATAAATTCCTAGTATTTAATACACATAAATGTTAACTGAAATGAGAAAAAAATCTCATTCAGTTAACATTTTCAGCATTATAGGTACTCTGGAAAAAGAGTATGAATTAACTGACTTATAAAGGAATGTAATCAAATTCTGTAAATGAGATTGCCAATATAAAGTAATTCAAACTTCGTGCTAATGAAAACATTTATTCAAACCTAACTGTAGTGCAGTATCAAGCTGAGTTAAACAAACATTAACTGTATGATATTCAGTTCCTTAGGAATAGACCGCTGCCACATCATAAAAAAATCTCTTGAAACATAAATTTCTGCAGTAAGGTTTAGCAATTAAGAAAACGTGATTTTCTACACTGAGAAATGTCAGAGTAGGATGGATTTATTTTTCTAAAGGCTCAGTACAAAAAAAAGGTAGAGAAAGTGACTCTTTAACAAAACATACAGCTGTAGGAAAAAACCCTAATACACTGATATTTAACTTAACAGAAAGCACTTATGACACATAGTTTAATGTCTAGGCACAATTGGTCAGGTACTAATTATAATTGCTTATTTAAAAGTTTAAACCAATTTTTCAAATTGACTGATGTGTGTGAATCTAATACACAGAAGGCACCTGTCTCATTTCCCCTTAAGGACTTCTTGAGAATAACTCTTTATAACACTTTAAGGGACAAGCAGACAATGCACTATATCTAAGTATAAATATAGTTATTTAAACATATCCCATTTTAGGACAACCTAAAATATAAAACTATGATTTATCTTTTTACATCTTATGATGGGCATTGGCTTTCGAAAAGGATACCAGAAGATAATCCACCACACAAGCTTTAACATAGAACATAAGACTTAAATTAAATGTGCATTGGTCACTACTATGCCAAGAGTTTTATGAATTAGTGCAATTCTTTAAATTCCCAGTATTTAGGGGAAAAGTATATACATATCAAGAAAATTTCAACCATTAAATAATCAATTTTTTTATGGCTCCAAAGTCTAACCACTTAATAGTTCTGTGAAAGATCTTAGAAGTTATAAATGAAAGATGAGAACACCTAAGAAATAGTTTTCAAAGTTCTCTTTATAACAAAGAGAATAGAATGCCAGAAGAAAAGTTAAAGTGTAAAATTCTAGGAATATAATCCTTACTGCGATTATAAGGAGGAGTGGTAAAGTATTCACTCTTGGAAAAAAGCCCATCCAACTGCTGATTTCTGATTAGATATTTCACTACCAATTGAGGTGGTTATCACTTTGTAGTATATTTAGGGGCTATGAATTTAATATCTTGTTAAATAATTACTGAAGGCAATTTATAAGGATTAGCATTTAGCATCATTTTTTCTCCAAAAAAAAAAAAGAGCAATTACTTCAGATAAATAATCCTCAGAATTAGAGATCATAAAAAGTCAAAAAACACAGTGTAAGAACATTAAGTTGATTTAACCTCTATTTTGACAAGATTTACACAATATTTACATTATGCAATTGTCAAAGCTATACAGTTTTGCAGATTGGCTCTACTTACATTTCTGCAAATGTTTTTTTCTAAAATAAAAATATACCAAGTAAGCCTATTTACAAACTACGAAGCTGTTTCAGAAACAGCATGATTTAGATATAAAGTGAAATGTCAGTACAATGAAAGTGCAGATCATGCTTTCAGATTCTGTCACGAC